CTATGCAAGATTTTGTAGTAATCTGGAGTGAGCATGATTCACCCTTCCAACCAATCTTACAAATTTGGAAATTCATGGGTGAAGAAACTCAGTCAGTTAGAAAAAGGGAATCCCATCGCCTCTCCAACCACACTCGATTTAAAATGTAAACCATAATTTCTAACGAAATATTAAAATTGAGAAGAGAGAGGAGTAACATGTAATATTTATTAACGAAAACCATAATCTTAAAAGAAAATATTGATGAGGATGTGAGAGAGAGAGAGAGAGAGAGAGAGACAGGAGGCACATGCAATATTTATTGACTAAAATCATAATATTAAGAGAAAATATTGATATGAGAGAGAGAGAGAGAGAGAGAGAGGAGTGTGGCACATGCAATATTTGTTGACGAAACCGTTGTACTAAGAGTAAATAGCTAGTTACAAACTAAATTTATACTATAATGAAGCATTTTAATTTAATATTTAGAAATTTATACTAGAATAAACTTAAATAATTAAAAACAACAACATTCCTTAACAAATATGACAGTAATTAAAATAATTTCACCTAATAAAAGTAATCTAAAATAATACGAAATGTAGACATCTTAAAATATATTTCAGCTGAAAAGATATTTATAAACTTTTTAGAAGTAGTGCTTACTTTATATAGTTTCTCTTTCTAGTTATTGCAATTCCATTTGAGATACAAAATTTTGATAATCATCTCTTACATAATTCTTAATATTTAATTTCTCAATCTAAGAAATTAAATAAAGTGATCCATGAATTTCCTGGGTAGTAAGATTCTCCTTTTGTACTTTTTTTTTTTAACCTTGTTTCAAGTTAAAATTCACAATTCTTACTTTAAATTATATTTATAATTAACAAGATAGATATTATTAATGTAAGCGAGGGAAGTATGTCAAAGAAATAATTTCCCAATTTGAACGTGCTTTACACTTTTAGAAATATAAATAGAAATAAATTCTTTTTTACCTCGAGAAAATAGATATAAATTAATTACATAGAATTATATATCCCACACAAACTCAAGACCATTTTAAAGAAGGGGTGTTCAACAAGTCAAACCAAACCGATTAGATCATATAAATCGAATCAAACCATATAAAATCGAACCAAACTATATAATATGGTTTGGTTTAAATTTGATATTTTAGACAAACTGTATAAATCAAATCAAACCGTATAGTTTATATATATACAAAACTAAAAATTCTATTTGTATATTTATAGTATATTTTTATTATTTGACTATATATTTCTTTTTTTGTTATCTTTTATATTTATGTTCATTGTAATAATTGATTATTTTTCTTTTTTAAAGTATAATTTCTATTAGTAATAGAGAAATTCTATAAAATGGTATAAATATATTTATTATAAAATTTATAACTATTATAGTTAATTATAAATAATAAATTTATTAAGTTAAACATATTAGAAAAAAATAAATGACTAATGTTTAGAAAAATTTTGTTAAAATTTTTATAAAAATAATAAATTTATTTTATTTTATAAATTACAAATTATGATTTAAAATTAATAATTATAAACTATAATTTAATTTATTAAAATTATAAATTATAATTTAATTTAAATTTAAATAACGTAACTGAAACAAACCAAACCGTGAACACGCCTGTTTCAAAGTTGCTAGAGGAGTACGTGGGCAGTTATTTTTTTTAACATTTTTATGCAATTTTCGTCATGTTAAGAGTTCTGAGAGAGAAGCTATAGCTCGAGAGTACCTACACGAGCTGTTTTCCGAAAAACGCTGAAATCACTTGGTCTGCTTCCGGACTCCGGAGTTCCAACACAATGGCTATGACAGAAGTCTTTATATCTGCAATCTTGTGATGGCCTCTGGCGATTTCCTGAACTTTTCCCCAAAAGGGCATTCTGGATCAGTTCATGAAATGGAAAATGATGCTATCGAAAATCGAAGCAGTTCTGCCTGGGTTGAAGCAGAAAAAAACACAAGACGAATGTCGCACGTTGTGGCTGGAAAACCTCCAGGACTTGGCCTACAATTTGGATGACCTTGTGGACGATTTTTCCACTGAAGCTCTGCGACTCAATCTCGCAGCGGAACCTCAAGCTAGTACGACTGAGTCGCGGAACTTAATCCCTAGTTCTTGTGCTAATTTCAACACACTATGTTTAATGCACAAATGGAGTCCAAGATAGAAGCTATCAGTGCCAGAATAAATGATAGCTTCAATCAGAGCTTGGAACTTAAGTTGGAAAAGACCGTTGGAATATCATCTGTTCAGAGTAATGGGCAAAGACGAGAGACTACATCTCTGATAGGTGACCCTCAAGTTCTTAGGCGGGGACCATGAAAAGAAACAGAGTACAGTTGCTTCTCAAGGATGATTCAAGTCACGAGTAAAGTTGGAGTAATTCCCCTAACTGCGTACAATGATGGAACTGTGAGGAACAATTTGATCTAAAAACTTGGGACTACGTATAAAAGGGGTTTGATATTATGAGAATTACGAAGGTAATTCTTGACTTAGTTGCTTACTAGACAAGTAACTTCATAAGCTTGGAGAAAGTTCAAGATCAATCAAAGCAAGCTTTGGATGGAAAGAAGTTCTTGGTTGTTGTAGATGATATTTTGAAAAATAATCATGGCAGCTGGATTGCTTTGGAGAGCCTTTTCCAGCAGTACAGCCGAGGGAGTAAAATGTTGGTGATGACGCGTAATGAAGGTATAGCATCAATGATGGGAACTTACTAAATTTCAAGGTGTTGGCCTCCTGTCTGATGATAATTGCTGGTTATTGCTTGCGCGTTAAGCCTTTGAGAATCAAAGTATCAGTGCTACTCCAAATTTGGTATCAATTGAGAAGGAAATAGCAAAGAAATCTGGATGTTTGCTTTTGGCTGCTAAAGCCCTAGTGGAGTTTTAAGCTCAAAGAACAAAAGACTGAATGGGAAAGTGTATGATGGGTAATATATGGGATTACCATTTGATAAAAGTGACATAGTCCCTGCTTTGAGATTAAGCTATCATGATCTCCCTTGGCATTTGAAGCAATGCTTTGCTATTGTGCCATATCCTAAGGACTATGAATTTGAGGAGAAGCTTCGATTTTTCTGGATTGCAGAATGTTTCACTCTGCAGCAAAAGGGAGAGAAGAATATGGAAGAACTAGGATCTGAGTGCTTTCAAGAACCAGTACAAGGGTCCTTTTTTCTGCCCCCTAGTAGTGCCGTCTCAAAATTGTAATGCATGACCTCATCAATGATATGGGTAATTAAGTAACAAATTCATTTTCAGATTAGAGAATGTTCGAAAGAATAAGGAGTGGCACATAAATCTAAGAAGACCTGGCATGCATCATATGTGCAAGCTTATCATGATGGGATGAAAATTTATTATCTTTAACAAGGACAAACATGTGCGGACTTTCTTACTCTTTTCCTTGAACAATGGCGAATGCTTTTTGACACGAAACATTCCTCTTGATCTATTGCCAAAGTTAAGCTATTTGAGGGAGTTAAATTAGAGAAACTATGAGATTAAAGAAGTTCCAGAATTGGCAATTTGAAATTTTTACAGTAGAATTGAAAGATCACCTAATTACCTAATTCATTTGGTGACTTAAATAATTTACAACACTAGCATCAAGTGATTGGCATGTTCTCAAGAAGATGTTCACAGACATGGGAAAGCTAGCTAGCCAATCTACGCCATCATTATATTTCTTGAATAAATGCCATTTGGAATAAGTAAGTTAATAAGCTTGCAAACCTTGTCCCACTTCATCATTACAAAAAGCAAAGAATCGCTGAGAAAGAAGCTTGGTGACTTGAATCATCTTGGAGGGACACTTTGGATTAGGAAACATAATTGACGTAGAAGATGCATGGAGAGCCAATTTAAAGGGCAAGATAAGTTTAACTATGTTATCAATGCTATGGAGTAAAACTTCAGATGATTCACGAGATGTGTTGGAACAAAAGTTTTAGATGTCCCCCAACCTCCCAAGAATTTTTTAGGGTTGCAGACAGAAGGCTACCATTGTAAAAAGGTTTCCATATTGGATGGGAGATCCTGTACTCTCAAGCCTGGTGACTACGAGCTTGCAAGGTTTTAGAAATTGCAAAGCCTGACTGCAATTGGGACAACTACCCTCACTCAAGAAGGTTTGGATTAAAGGAATTACAGCAGCGACATGTTGGAAATGAGTTAATGGGCAGGATTTTGCTGAGCCTTCTCCCTCGCTGGAGGAACTAAGTTTGGAGGATATATGCAGGAACGGCAAGATTGGCAAGCAAGTGAAGATGTTTTGGGAATTCGGCCTTTTACTTATATCTATAAATTTCTTATGATAAATTGTCCCTAACTTTTCATAACAGTTCCTGTCTATCTTCCTTGTCTGAAAATTCCTGTGGTTGATAAATGCCCTCACTTGGAGGTTGAAGTTTCCAAGCTTGATTACCCATCAGTCACCCTCTCTGTGAAAGATTTTACATTTCCAATCCTTTCTGCTCATCAGATCAGAAAAGTGCTTGGATGCACCTTCCTTACCTCTTTAAATATGGGAAATGTTTCAATTGCTTACTGTCTTTAAAATCCAAACGAAATAATGTTGGGAACGTAATGTTTGAGCATTCATTCTTCTCTTTTTGTTTCAAAATCATTTCTTTGCAGAAACTGATCATGTCCTTTCATCAGCAAGCATGGTACAACCTAAATGCAACGTTAATACCATCTATATGTCATTTCATAAATCAGAATGCAATTTCGATTATCAAACCTACATTGCAGAACTCACAAGATCTTATATTTTGCATCACTTCTGATTATGATAAATTTACAAATTGCAGTTTTCATTAAATGAATCAAAAGAGAAAGTGCAAAAACTGATAAGTGCCCACAAAGGTCAAACTGTACATTCAAATTCTCAATAGGGTAAAATACAACATTTTTACAACACTCAACTAACGAAAACTTTAACAACATGCATCAATTCAGCAAATTTAGTCCCGTAACTTTTGGACCCCCACCCAACGTGCATAATCCACCCACCTATAGAACAAAATACCAGAAACATATAGAAGTAAGAATATTGTAGATTGAAAAAATAAGGATGTAATAATTACCTATTAGAAAAACATATAAATAGCCTTACATCAATGACCCCAAGAATGTGTTGCCAGTTCTAACAGCAAAACACATTGCACTCAGCAAAACCTTTTGCTGGTGTAGCAATGGCTCTAGTATCCGTTGTTCAATGACCCCTGCTAGAACTTGGTATCTATGGACAATTGCAGATCATGAAATCAATTATGAAAAACTTCAATGAATTAACATTAGCGATTATAACATGTATTATCCTGTTTTAGAGTCATGTAAGCAGATGAAACTTGTTTGCAATTTTCTTCTTATTGATCTTTCATGAATAAGAAAGCAAGAATAAAGGAATTGATAGCTCAAAACAACCATACAGATAGTCACATTTGTATACTTTCATCCTTTTATATTGTTTCGACTAAAGATGCATGAATAAACATTCTAGTGCAGCTCATCCTTTCAGTTTCTGTGCGTGAATAGATTATGGATTCTTTTACAATGTGGTCTTTTAGAAAGTGAGGAACTTAAGAGTAAGGGAGAGAAGTCGAATCGTATTCTTATACCATGAATTAATATTTTAGAGTACTTGCCATGATTTCACTAACAATTTTATTTTCTGCATTGCAGAACAATTCATTAATAATTGCGACAAACTCTTTAGTTCTATTTTTATTTTTTCTGTTTTGAATAACATGCATGCATTGTTCCTTGACCATCTCTCTTTACATATACATGATTCTTATCCATCTCAGTGATTAGATTCATACATTTATCAAAAAGAAAAGAAAAACATAGAAGTGGCACTTAACCACAAACAGTCATGCAACCATGTGTAAGTGAAAGAATAACAGGCTATTTAAAATTAATATTTTTCTAGCACATAAAATGACAAAGAAAGTGATAAGAGTTGGAACAATAATTTTTTTCAAGTTTTTCTATTTTGGTATTTTTCACCTACATAGATTTCATATGCTTATTTACAGTACACATGTAAAGCTTATGCTCTGTTTAGTTTTTTCCTTTCAAGTTTTCTTCTGTTAAATTTTATTTCTATTGAGTTTTTCCTAACAAAAGAAACTATGATGTGAGATACTAATTATAAAGGCATGTATGCTCAAATTTTAACACACTATTGACTTTTCAGTTTTTAAAGTAATTTTCCTATTGTATTATCCTATGCATGTGGACAGGTTCCCCCTTGCCCTCCCCCACCTCAGGGTTTAGACTAAAATTAACAGAGGTAAAACCAACTTCAGCAATTTGTGTACCAGAACACCAACTGAAAATCATAGATGCCAGAATGAGCACTCCATGATATATACCAAATCCTCGATGTTTAACACTACATCCCAATCACAGCCCATACTGAGGCTATTCTGCATATAGCTACCCATGATAGAATAATTAGAAACAACCAACACATTGACATTCCAAATGATAATCAAACAATAATGCAGGCCATGATATTTATAACAAGGACAATAATCCTATCTCACTGTAACAAAATTTCAAGAAGATGAAAGATCATTAATAGTATAATGATTCTCAATCAATTTGCATACCTAAGGTTGCTGGAAACTGCCATATAAACACCATAGGCAACACTAGTTGAGATTACTGGTACATCCTCTGCCTCAATAGCAAAATCCTTATCAAATACCTTCCGTGCATTAATCAAGACATTTGTGATAACTGTACCAAACTGTAAAAAAGGCACCATCAGCAAAAGCTGCCATATTGTGATTTTGTAAATTTCGTCATCGATCAAATGAAAAAAACTCTACTTTTAGAATTTAAAAACAGGCAACTCATCCTCACATGTTACAAAAGACAGAAAGATATTCAAACACATATTCTGTGGAAGTTATGAAGTCCCAAAATTCTGTTTTATAGTTTGATGCATGAAGTAATAGTTGGCTAGTTCTATCTATAGGTGGGAGGCAAGCATTTGTGAGAATGGAATTCAGGGAAAACAAATAGACAAGAAAAATATAACTTCAAGATGAGCAAGCAGTTGTTGATAATAGCTAGTATAAAGTTTGAATTTTGATTCTAAAGTTGTTTTATTTTGTCATATAAGCTTTGCAAAATGGCAAGAAAATGAAGCTTTCTTAGACTATGTTCCTCTTCTCCATCAGCATTTTCCCTTCTTTCTATATGTTCTTTCATTTTAATAACTTGATCCCCGTCACTTTAGTATCATTTAAAAGTCTGCACAACTCTTCCCCTTATTTTTCATAGTGCTCCTACATTTCAATTCTTTGCTTTATTTTTTTAAGCTATACTGCCTGCTTCTGACCGTATCAATTTGCATAAAAACCAGTTATTTTTATTTTTATTTTTTCCTTTTTAACATGACTCTTGTCATTCCAAACACCAATCCAATAAAATAACATAATTCCAACCAACTTATATCTTCACCATTGGGAACAGGACTCGACAAGTTCACTATCACCAACTAATAGGTTTTTAAGCAAATTGGTAACAAGCTTAGTGCACAAAACCTTCTCCACCCCACAACCCCCCCCCCCCCAAAAAAAAAAAAAAAAAATTGAAAATGAACAATAACCAGACACGCCCCCCCAAAAGGAGACCCACTAAAATGACTGGCTTGCATTATATGGATTAAGCATGAACTGTGTTGCAACCAACAAACTTTAGAGACTAATAACTACTACAGAAAAGTTGAAAAGCTAAATTGGAAGATATTCAAAGCATGATGTAATGACATACCAAAGAAGCACTGGTCCCAACTGCAAATAGCTTTGCCCCATTACGCTGCAGCATATAACAAAATACTGTTAGTATAACTAATTTGCTCCAACAGTGATATTATGGAATAAAGGACCAAATTCAAAAACATACCACTATGGCCCCTATTCTCTGCAAAAAGGAATATGATGTACCAGCCAATGCAAACCTGTGGACAGGATCAAATGATCTTGTTTAGCTGGCTTTAAACAGCTTTATATCATTTTACTTTAAACAGATGTCAACAGGAAGAACCTGAAAAGCATTGTCAGGGCAGCCATAAAAGAATTTAGCAAAAGGTCCTGCACTAATGGCAAGAGCTGGTCGAAGAGAAACAGTGGGAGCAGGAAGCCAGACGAGCATGAAATCTGCAATGATGGCCATCACCTAAAATAAAAATTATCACAAAAGAAATGAGCAGATGTGATTGCAGAAATAGGATAAACTCTCAATTATTAATCAATTAATTGCGAGAAAACAAAGTCTTCAAAATTTCCGACATCGAAGGATAAGTTTATTTCACCAAGGTAACAACAATAAATTGACTGCAATCTCAACTTACATTAACAAAATCTACCAGCTCAGATTGCTATACAGATTCTCTGCACTATTTTGCATTGTTTTTACAAAATATTATTTCATATCTTGGATATCATATGTCACAAACCAACCAAAAGTCATTTAGTCCTACAAAGCATATTATGTCCAACAAAACTTACTTGACCCTTGAACTAGCTGAAGAAACTTAACATGGTTGGTAGTAGGAAATAGAGTGTTCAATAATTCTCAACTATCCATGTGCATAGACAGTTAACAGTTTTAACTATATGAGCTTTTACACAGCTGCTACAAGTCTAACATAAAAATTCAAAGTTGACTCATCAAAAAGGAAAATTACTGTTTTTAAACAACAAGACAACTATAATTTTAATATATTGCAGTAGTTGATAACAATAGTCCTGTCTAAATGAACATGTAATCCAATAATGAAACAATAAACAAGTAAGGTCAATGAAGCCATAAAAAGAGCACACAACTGTACAATCCAATACTTGCATCAGCATGATAAGAAATCCTTAGACTAAAGTCAAAAAAGTTGGCAAGCAGCAGCATAGTATTCCTAGGAAATAACAAATCAAATTATGAGGTGACATGGGATTCGTGTTGCTGAGTAACGAAGAAAGATCAAAATATTATGGTTTATCAGAAATCTGGTCTATGATCGAGGGGATTGGAGACACTAGATTCATGTAGCCATCCCCATGGTTGGGATAAGGCTTAGTTGAATTAAGTTCAGTAGATTAAATGTTGAAGGGACCCCAAGAGATGAGAGGTGCTTCAGAAACAAGATAAAAAACCCAAAAACATTGACAAAGCAAAAGTAGTAGGAAAGTTTACTGCAACAATAGCCATACCACGTCAGCGAAAACAAAATCAAGCTCCTTAGTGAATTTTTCTCTACGTCTTTCCAATTCTGCAGCAGTCTAGAAAGCAATTAAACATAAGAAGTTAGACAAACGAGAAAAATATCAAAGTGATAGAAGTTAATTACAAAGAAATTCAACCTTTCCTTTTAAAAATAACGAAATACAATTGTGATGTTATGTATCTTTAAGAGAAAAATTGCCTCAAAAGTAACTTTGAAGAAGCTATACTACCAGGAGGCAAAAATCTGACTCTTGATAGAGGAGTAGTTAATCATGACAAATTGAAATCATAATTAAAGGAAACTGGCAGTACATGATAAAAATTCTCAGCACATCGAAGCATCAGCACAAAGGAAAAATATAATGGAAATAAGAATCAAGTCTCTCCAATCTCCACACAGAAGTATTAAGAACTATCCCAAATATGGATGCCAATACAAGGTAATAATTTCCGAAGATGGAGCAGTAAAATAGTGGTTTCACTGCTCCTTTTCTGCTAACTTCAAATAATTATTTACTCTGAAGAAGGTTATTATGCAATTGAAATATAGCAAACAATTTTTTTTTTTTTTTTTGATTGACAAGAGTCATATTATTTGGGTATCTGAGGAGGGGACTCAGATGTAATAAGCAAAGATATAGGAAATTAGTTCCAAGTGAAAGAGGATGCAAAAATAGCAAGTAGGTTGGGAAAGGAACAAAATGTTTTGGAAGCATAAAATATATTTTCTCAATGGGTTCTCATCACTTCTCAACAAGTCTCGGCAGTTATGGTACCTTATTATTTGTTGAATAAAGGAAAGGATGATGACCTAAGGAGATTGAGCCACAGGACTCTCTTCAGCCGCAGCACTCACTGTCAGACCTCACATGCTCAAGGACCACAGAAGATTCTCTTGGCCTCTTAGCCTATCTCTGTAATACACCTGTGCAGTTTGTTACAACAACCTGTATTGTTTTCTATTTTTTTTAATTCTTATAATTTTTTTCAGCAATTTTATATAAGCTGAGAATGTACAGAGTGCTAGGTTAAGGATAATTCCTTCTTCTTCCTTCATGTAATGTTCTGGTCAGTCGAAATAGAGGGTATATACATTATCTTCTTCAACACTTCTCTCAATACTCTTTATCCTGGACTGTTCTGTTGCTTGAAAGTCAACATTATTTTGAACCATTAAAGTTTCCAAACACACAAGAAACAGGAAAAACAAAAAGAAAACTACTCACTTCTCATTATTTGGTTATAAATTCCTACCAAAAGCTTAAATTCTAAAGATAGAGAGAGAGTAGAGGAACCAAGAAAAAAATATTTAATCATTTTCCTAAAATCTAATTTGTCGTTACCTTAATAGGCCATTCCATAACTTACAAACACGGAATAATAAATCACTATATAAAAACTATCCCCAACAGTTATGGTAACAGATTGATGCCCAAGATTTCTTCAAGTAACCCATAGAAAGTATGAAATAAAAAACAACTTTCTGCCTACTAACAACTTTAAGTGAATTTTGTATCAACTAGACTACACCACGTCCCCTGCTGTCAATGAGAACATGGTCTATGAAATTGTGGAATGACTAAGAGTGGAATTTTTAAACGATAAACATGACAGAATTGCTACTTTATATTACCTTGAGAACCATAATCACCTAGTTGTATTTAATTGCAACGAGTTGCTTGTATAGTGTTTATAAATTACCCACAAATGCAATGTTCAAATTGCATAATTATCAAATTATTTCCTGAAAACAGATATTTTTAACATGAAAAACCAGTTTATTTGGATTTCTGGCTTCCAATTGTTTGGTTGGAGAAGCTTCAACCCAAAAAATCATCCGTTGGAAGGAAGGAAAAATATCTTCTTATATAAGATGCTGGTTCTTGAAATAATTCCGGGGGCTTTTTTATTTTTTATTTTTTTAAATTTATCTTGTTTTCATCCAAATGGGACAAAATATAATGAGAGAAATTGTTAAAATTACCTGTTTCTAATATTATTTACATTTAGATATGGATCTTTATGTGGGTAACAAAAAAAAGGAAAAGTTTTCTTTCTTCAAAAAAAAAAAAAAAAAAAAACAAACCAAACTCAACAAATAAATGGGGCTTTTTAACTTGCAAAGTGAACACCCCTTAAAGCGTCTTTCAAAGTGGCTTCTGCAGCAGTTACCAAGTTTAGGCCATCAATTCTTTTCCTCTGCTCAAAACTAGAAATAGTTCCAAAGAGCGAATTAAAACCTTCATCCCTTTCTGTGTGAACAAAATTCATACGTAGAAAATAAATTTACAAAAAAATTTTGCATGACAAGAACAAGCTTTATAAGAATTATGATCCTCACAAAAGAGAACAATAGATTATAGTTTTCAAAGGGAGACATAAAATGGACCTTCCAGAAAATAAAAGGCTTAATATATAGAAAATGAAATGGAGGCTCCAACAGGATGGCCAATCCCCCCCCCCCCTCCCCCAAATAAAAAAAGAACTTCCTTGGATCCTCAATATCCAAACAAATGGAAAATCGGAAACAGTGGTGTCAAAGTTATTCTGCCAACTTCTCAATTAAATCCATAAAGATATGCCAAATTGTCAGTTTTGAAATTTAAATATATGCCCCTTCAGGTAAAAAATTAAAAAAAAAAAGAAGGGCAGATCATTCTGAATTTGTCTGAAATCGTTCCACATAAATCTCCAAGTACGCCAATTTTAACTTAATGCTCAGACCAAAATGCACAAACCTTAGTGAAGATCCCAACACCACATTCGATGGCAACCTTAGTCAAGAAGAGATCATCGGCGAGCAAACGCTCCTTAAACCCTCCAAACTGAAGCAGCCACCGGAACACCGGTGACTTCTCCAGCTCAAAGTATCTGTGCAGAGGGATGGCAATATAATCACTACATGTTATCATTATGGCACGTGAACTTAAACACAAGTTTATTAAGGAAAATAGGAAATCAATAAGATCCGAAGAAACAATAACTCATTTTTTAGATAAATTGTCAGAATTTTTTGATTTTTACTATGAAGTAGGGATAAGGCAGAGAAAATTTTTACTATAAATATTTTTACAGAAATATTTTATTAGAATATTTCATTAAATCATGGATTTCACACAAATTAAAAGTTAAGATAAAATAAACATGAATTATAACAAAAATTCTGTAAATAATGGGCAAATAAGGACCACTTAACACCATTACCTGTAGACAATTGTTCCAGGAATCTTCCCACGCTCGATTGCAGCCGCCAAGTCCTTGGGAATGCTGTCCAAGGACCTCCCACCTCCGCCAAAGCTAGAGTCGCCTCTCTTCTGTTTTTCTCACCAGCATCCCCATCTTCCCCTCCATCGCCACCACCGCCATAATTTCCGCCACCGTTTCCGGCGTTTCCACCACCACCTCCAGCGGAGATAATAAACAAAGATGGACGACGAATTAGGAGGGAATTACGAATGATTGGAGAATTGACCAACAAGGGGGTGCGACGGCTGAGTATAGAAAAGGTTAGAGACGAACAAGGCGAGCGTTTGTGGTAGCGGTGGTGGTGGAGAGGTAGGAAGGAAGAGGACAGATTAGAAAACGCCACGATCGCCATTGAGGTGGGGGGGAGAGAGAGTGTGTCTCTCGCTCCTCTCACACTAGACTGTGTATGTGAGAGAGAGAGAGAGAGAGAGAGGACTGTTGTCAGTGGCTCTGGTTGGTTTGGTGGTGGAAAATTTGAAAGGTGGGAGTAGCGACATAGAATAGTGATAGAGAAATCTCGCGCGCTCCCTCAGGGGCCACTCTGCTCGTAGTCGCAGTTTTCTTATCAGAATTTGAATTTTCAACTTAACGCTAAATTACACATATGGTCCCCGTTAATTTAGAAGTTTTAATTTGATTCTCTAATTCTCAGTTTCTGCAATCAACTATCTGGACTTCTTATATTGCCTCCTTAGTCCAAATCGAACAAAAGAAAAGAAGTATCTCATTTCAGTGCGAGGTGAACCTTAATTAGTTGCAATTACCTTTTTCCAAGGAAGAAAATGAAAGAGATGGAGAGACCATTTTTTCCTATCATGCACAAGGTCAAACTGCTAGTACTTCTAACACAAATACGTTTTATCATTAGCATATCTAACCATAGTTCTCTCTGTCTCTCTCTCTAATTTCTATTTTACGCTTCTATATTGAATTCTCATAGGTAATGAACGGAATGACAATTGTGACAATATTCAATTCTCAAATATGTTTTGTTCAAGATTGGAAAGGAAAATGATAAAGATGGTAGCTTTTAGGGCAAAATAAAGAGGAGGAAGAGGGTTGGTTGGCTAGGTGAAAGACTAACAACAATGATTCGTAGAGGATGTGGGCTTTTTTTAGCTTGTTAAAATGATAGTGTGGAAATTATAGATGATGTTGACGCTAGAATGGGGGCTATAGGTGATGGTTAATGGTGACATACTGGGTTGGGAGGTTTAGAACATACATAAAGCATCATGGGAAGGACACACAGCTCAACATGAGACTTGCATAATACGTAGCTACTATACACAAGTTTTCTTATTGAATGCTATGCTAAACATGGAAGAGGAACAAAATACAGGGGAATACAAAGCGTTAGAGTGTAGGCATAGGAAAACGAAAAGGTCATTAATGTGGAAATGGGTTAGGGAATGAACAAGATGAAGGTGAAGGTCAAGGTCAAGTAAAAGTGAAGGTGAAGTAATTACCAATGATAAAACTGATGGAAATGATGAATTTGGTCATTTTTGCCATTGAGAATTGCCTTGACAATCTCAATATCATAAACCATGTCTTTCATTTTCACAAATTTCATGTAGGAAAACGGATCAGATTTGAATCAAATTAGACATATCCAAATCCAATTAATCATTACTATATCTGAATTCGATCTGAAAATCTTAAAGGATCTATGTTTATTAAACTATATTCAAATCTAGTGAATAATCTGAAATCAGATAAGAAAATCCGATTCAATAAGAAAATTATCTTCTTTTACATTTATATCTCTCAACTCTATTTTATCAATTATATTGATCCCTAAATTTTTTAATTTTTTTAATTTAGTTACTATAACTTTAAATTTATTAATATTATATATATCATGATTAATTTAATTTAAAAATATTATTAAATTTTGGATTTGAATTCTTAATAGATCGGATCATTTAATTTCACGTCTGATCCACTTGTTTCAGATTATGGATATTTATAATTGAATTTAATCCATCAAATATTTTAATTAGATCAGGTACAGATTAAAATTTAACCTATTAGTAACCCTAATTTCATGAGTAATGTCATCTTTTTGTTTTATTTTAGAGAAATAAAATTTTTTACATATTTTTTTTTATCATAAATAACATATCCTACGTTATAATGATAAGAATTCTTTTTTGTGGATGGTATAGTAGTGGGTGAATCTTAGCACAAGTGGGGTTTTAGTACAATGTAAAGATTAGTTACATTAAAATGATGGATACTAGAATGCCAGGATAAGTCAAGTCATTTGCATAGGCCTTGTCATTTCCTTATCATTGTCCTATGTGCAATGATGTGGTATTTTATTGATGTGTTTCTGTAAAACCCTAACTTATGGAAAATAATAATTAAAAAAATTAAATTAATTATAATTGAGAGCATAATTGAGTTAATTAAAACTTAAAGGGACTAGATCGCGTAAAGATCATAATACAGGGACCAAACTGTAAAAATTAGAAAATTTGATCCGAACGTCCGTAATGTTCGGATCCATGAATGGAAACTGTTAAATCCGTGATTAATGCAACCATTTCGATTAAAATTTCCCTTATAAACTTATTCCAGTGAGACATATTGACCAAAACCCTCAGATAATTTCCAAGAAATCTCTCCTAAGTTGATTGATTTTGCAGTTGCTTGTTCAGAAGTTCATCTGATTGATCTGTTAGATTTGATCGAGGTGTCGCAAAGATCAGGCAAATAGAAGCTGTTTGGCTTGATTAAACCAACAATAGATTGTCGCCTAGCCATTTCGATTCATGTGAAGGCTTCCATCTCCAATTTCGATTGAGATTTCAGGTAAAATTTTTGATAATTCTGTTTCGGGTTTCTTGGTAGAAACAAGTGAGGAAGAACTGACCTGGTTTCTTTCAGGTCAAGGCTTGTTAATGCACTCTAGGCTGTTTTGTTTTTAATTTGGTGTAGGACTTGGGCCGATCCAGATGGTTTTGGGCAGGATGGAATGTTATTAGGTCTGGACCATGGCCAATGGGCCAGTCCCAGACCAATAAATAAGACCGGGTCATCAGACTAGATTTGAATTCTGAATTCGACCCAACAAATAAATAAAAATAAACAATTAATAAAAAATAGAAAAAAATTAGCAGAAATTAAAGAAATGATCGGTTCAAGGACTTCCAAATCGGTTCTTGGCTGATTCAAGGTATTGTTAGGAAGGGAATTAAATACTCTACATGGTTGATGGCCGGTTAAAGGGTAAATCGGCCGGTTTAAGGGTGAACCAGCCAGTTCAGTAGTAAAAATTAAAGAAATATGTAATTAAACCACAGGTTCAACATTGTTAAGGCCGGTTTAAGGTAAATTCTAACAGGTTTAGTGGTTTTAAGTGCGGTTCCATGGGTTTTATGGCCGGTTCAGTGTGTTTCTTGACCAGTTTAGTGAGTTTAAAGCCAGTTCAACGAGTTTTATTGTCAGTTCAACCTTCTAGTGACTAGTTCAAGTCCGATTTAATATCTTAATGTTTGGTTTAAGGGATAATTAAGCTAGAGTTATGTTTTAGGAGTCGATTCAAGACTTTAATATGTAGGAAGCAAATTATTCGATCAGTTCGGAACTTTAAAATTCCCAATACGGGTGCAAACACAAAAACCTAAGGATGTGTAATTGGGTTTTAGAGGGGAAATTAGTTGTAAATTAATTTGAGACCTATTACATTCTGAAATAAGATTTTTTTTTTGGTTATTTCTAGATTGATCGTTCGACTTTCGTGAAGCTGAATCGCCGAAACTCAAGTTTTGTGATTCTCTAGTGGTTGTGAATAGTAATGCATATTTATATAATTTATTATTTACATATCTGTTAAATGTTAAGTTTTATATGAATTGTTTTATAAATTTAGATATCTCGAAACTAGAATTTAAATTTGTTATAAATAGTTTACAAAGGACGTATATGAAATTTTCTAATTTGTTGGAAAGTTTTCTTGAACTATTGATTTCTATTTTGATATGTTTGGAAATATGAAAATCTGTGAATATTTTCTGTTAAACTTTGGAACTTTATTTTAAGGAGTGTCGAACTATTAGAACACTATAACTAACGACAGTAGGCGTTAAACTAGGTGCACCTTGGAGTGTATGATAGACTATCATGCGAAGCTGATGTGATAAGCCTGATTATTGATTTACGACAGACTATGATGTTGCTGTCTTGTTATATGTATCACAGCAAAACCATGGGTTGCCATCCTGTTTCTTGTTCAGTTCTCTGTGTCGAACTCCCTAATTGGTATAATTGAAACATTATGTTTTATGACAAAATATCTGATATATGTCCCTTGATATATAAATATATATTATTATTCACTAGGTCAGTAGACTTATTCTTTTATTTTTTCAGACTCAGGCTCGACTCTGCTGACAGATCTCGCTGCATGAGTGGATTTCATGGCACTCGTTGATTTGATTTCGAATTATACCAGCTAGTCTTTGTATCTCTTCAGTTTTATTGATTGACTCTGATCTTAGTTAGCTTGGTGATCACATACAAGTTTTCGATGTAAAGAGATGGTTTGGTATTTATATATGTATTTCAAATAATTTACAGCATTAATATTTTTCCAATGCATCAGTATTTTCGTTTATGAAAGGCTTGCGGGATTAGGACTTATTATAACCCTGATGTTGGTCACGGATCCAACTTATGTGTCATGACAAAGTTAGTATCAGAGCTCTAGGTTTTCTATGATCATTGGAGCAACGTTCTTCAGTAGAGTCTCGCTTATGATTACGAACCGGCCATTTTCATAGTCGAAAGGCTATAAAAGGATAGTTTGGAGTATTCTATTCTCAATTGTAATTCTCTCATGTACTTGTTCTAACTCTTACCATTTTGTATTTTGAAATCTCTAAATAGATGGATAAATCGCTCGAAAACACAATTTCGGACTCCAAGCACGAGCAGTTAGTGATTCCTAATATGCCCTGAGATAGATCACTTCTAGAGGTACGATTAGGGCACAGCCTTCGGTACTAGTTAGAGGACGAGGCAGACCGAGAGGTAGAGAAAGGGGTTATGGGAGAATGACCAGTAGAGCGGATCAAGTA